TCAATTAGGGGGGGGGGGGCACGGCACTGCCGACTTTTAGTCCCATTCTTTCCATGCAACGCCCATAGGGCTACTGTTAACAGGCCAAAATTAAAGAGGGGAACGGTGCCCCGGTGCCCTCCCCGTTCCGCCGCCTATGCCGGCGAGGGTACAAGAGATTATATTGTCATTCATCGACCGCGAAAAAAAGAATGTCCGGGACACAAATGATATGGAATGTTACAATTGTCGGCTCCCAAATACAATAGCTTCACCTGACAGACCTCATCTACCTGACTTCAAAAGTTTTGATCATCCATTCCATGCATTAAATTCGTCAATCACTTGATGGTCTGATATTTCTTCATGGTTTTATTGAACCACATTTGTGGACAAATGTTTGCGGAGACGAAGATAGCGCAGACAAAGGTTTGCGGACGAAAATATGCGCAGACAAAGATTTGCGGACGAATTTGCGTGGACGAAAAATGCGGACGAAGATTTGCGGACGAAGATTTGCGGACGAAGATTTGCGGACGAAGATTTGCCGGGACGAAGATTTGCGTGGACGAAGAAATGCGGACGAAGATTTGCGTAGACGAAGAAATGCGTGGACGAAAAAATGCGGACGAAGATTTGCGGACGAAGATTTGCGGGGACGAAGATTTGCGGACGAAGATATGCGCAGACGAAGATTTGCGTGGACGAAGAAATGCGGACGAAGATTTGCGTAGACGAAGAAATGCGTGGACGAAAAAATGCTTGACGAAGAAATGCGCGTACGAAGAAATGCGGATACGAAGAAATGCGCTACGAATATTTGCGCTTACGAAGAAATGCGAGACGAAGTTATGCGACACGAATAAATGCGCCGACGAAGATTTGCGGACGAAGAAATGCGGACGAGGAATTGCGCGACGAAGAATTGCCATACGAAGATTTGTCCGGTTACGATATTATATATACCCTGAGGTTAGGTAAGGTCCCAGTAAACATGCCGACGTCGGCCCGACGTCGGGCCGAGGCTCGGCCCGACGTCGGCCCAACGTCGGTTCAACCTCGGCCCGACATCGGCTGGACGTAGGATATGCCCGCATGTTCCGACGTCCAGCCGAAGTCCAGCCGACGTCAAGCCGACGTCGGGCCGAGGTCGTTTGCCGAGGTTGACGAGATCGTTTGTCGTTGGACCGACGGGGCCGACGTCGGCATGTTTATTGGGACAACGCGCCAAAAATGTCAACCGGCGGCGGGATTCGAGCCCCCCATTCGCCGACGTCGGCATGTTTACTGGGACAACACGCCAAAAGCATCATCCGGCGAGGGGATTCGAACCCGTGACATTTGAACGCGAGTTTAGTGCGCTAACCACTACACCACGCAGCCAGATAGCGAATGTAGTTTGTTTTGTTGGGTTATGCCCTTTCGGTCTGACAAGACTATTTCAGAGCCGGAAGGATGATAGGATGGGGACACTGGTCTTCTTGGCGAGCACCCTGGGTCCAGTTCATATAGAGTCCCTGGTCCCATTGCTGTTACGTGACACTTATTGGAAAGGGCGACCCCACAATGGATTCATATAGCCACTCTTACACACCTGCACCAACGTTTCCCAAAGTGTCCCTTTGATAAGTGGCACTTTGGCAAAGTGACACTTGCCGACTGGCCTTTCTATTGAACTGGGCCCGGCCCTGGTGAGTTGCCGGGGCTGAGCCTGACCAAAGGATAGGCCGAGCAGCCCTCAAGCACTCACCGCACCCGGCTACGGGCGAGCTCGGCTTACGGGCAATCCCTAATGGGATAAAGTTTCCCGTCCAGTCCGGATCAGGGGGTTGCGGCGTTGAGGAAGATTTGAGTTTCCTGAGGATATTTTGAATACAGAAGCTCTTTATGAAACATGAAACATGTATTTTATATTATTTTAACGGTCAAAACAGCGGCCGATGTCGGTCCGACGTCGCCCCGACGTCGGCCCGACGTCGGCTGGACCTCAGCAATTGATCTCGGTCCGATGTCGGCCCGACGTCGGCTGGACCTCGGCTGGACGTCGGAACATGCGGGCATATCCGACATCCAGCCGACGTCGTGCCGAGGTTGGACCGACGTCGGCCCGACGTCGGCATGCCGATGCCGAGTTGCCGACGCCACCCCGACGTCGGCCGACGTCGGGCCGACGTCGGCATGTTTACTGGGGTCATGGATAACTTACATGGTAAGTAATCCATGGTAAGGTCAGGTAAGGTTTGGTTATGTTCTTACTAGTTATTTCCTGTCGTATTGTCTCGCTCCCCCACCCAAAAACCCCGGTTCCCAACATTTCCCCTTTTTTGTTGGTATTATGACGTCATTTTCATGCACACATTTCTCTTTTTCGTAAATGGCGCAAACACGTTGTTTATTTCACCGCATTTCTTCGGTGTACATTTCTTCAGTGCATAGGTGTATTTTGGTGGTACACAGTCAAACGGTTTGACCTAGGAAAAAGGTCACCATTTTTGAACTCAGCGTGCCATGGGCTATCTGTATGCCAATTTTGAGCGAAACTATTCCTTGAATTTGAATCTGAATATTCTTGTGCAAAGTGACCTTGACCTTGACCTATGACCTTGACCTCAGTTTTTTTTTTATATGCTACTGCTTCTCGATGAGAAGAATACAGTGGTGGCCGAAATTTTCCAATATCTCTAAAAATGATGATTTTATAGGGTACTGCGACTTTTTAAGTGACCTTGACCTATGACCTTGAACTCTGATTTGTTTCTGAATATGCTACTGCTTCTTGATGAGACAAACACACTGGTGGGCGAATTTTTCAAATCAGACCATAAACAAAGATTCTACACGGTACACAGTGTTTTGACCTCTCGAGGTCAAACGGTTTGACCTAGGAAAAAAGGCACCATTTTTGAACTTGTGTGTGCCAAGTGTGCCATGGGCTATCTGTATGCCAATTTTGAGCGAAATCATTACTTGAATTTGAATCCGATTACGAATATGACACTAACTTTATGGACATGTTTCAATCCGCCATATTTGCCAATCACTGCTTGACTTTGTAATGTAGCTCTGTGATTTAGAGACGCCAGTGCATTGTGCACCGAGTGAGTGTAGGCCTTGTGTGGTTAAAAAACTTTCTAAATTAGAATGCCTTATTTGTTCATTTGAATGCTAGGATGCATGGAAAAGATGAATTTTTCTGATTTTATGACCATATATGGTCATTGCCCCGCCCACTCCAGCCGTTGATTGGCTGATCAACGTTTGGATCTTCGTCTCGTTGTTTCCCCAACTGAAAGTGAACGTTGTAGCTGATGATGATAACAGAAGAAAAGAAAAGGCACGCGGACATTGTGGCGCTTCTTGCTGGCAATGAGGCACCCAAGGTCGCCAACTTACTCAAGGTCGATAGAAGCCTTGATTATAAAGTCGAGCGGAGTTAGCTTGGATGAGTCTGGGGGTGACGTCCCGTCTGTGGCAAAGCGGAAGAAACATTCCCGACGATCTGATGCCGTCAGAGACAAATGATTTCATCGCCAAAGTCGAGAACATCGTCGACGATCACCGTCGACGATGGTGACGTCGTGAAGCCCTGGATCGACCGAGTGGCTGAGGGAAGGCCCTAATGAGTTCCAACAAGACTCTGTAAACGCCCACAGGGCCAGGGTGACGCAGGAGTGGATGAGCGCCAACGTGCACAGCCATATCACGCCCGAGTTCTGGGGCCGTATTCACGTCGATTATTTTCGTAAGAATTTCCTTACGAATGACCTACTTCTTGAGCAATTTTCTTTTAATCACGTGAACTCCGTCGATAAAAACTTAAGAAGTGTCGACGTGAATACCAAATCATACTTAGGAAAGAAAATCGACTTACGAAGTCGACGTGAATACGGCCCCTGGCCGCCAAACTCCCCGGACCTGAACCCGCTGGACTATTACATGTGGGGCGTAGTCGAGAGGGACACTGACAACTGCCCACACAACACTATCGACTCTCTGAAGTCAGCCATCAAGCAGGTGATGGTCAAGATGGACATTACCATGCTGACCAAGGGCAAGGCCTGCACCCGGTTCAGGCCTCGCATAGAGGCCGTCATCGATGCGGATCCATCGAGTGAAGTGTGCTCGACAGGTCACCATCAGTCAACCCAGTTTCAAACTTTCATCCAAAGTGCTGACTTTTGTCAAAAAATTCATGTTTTGTGTGGAGCACATATTGTCTTCATTTATCGGCGCCACCCTGTATATAAATTATAAACTCAGTCTCCCGCTTCTCCGCAAATCTCGGAGAAACGGGAGGAGTAGCAAGGCCCTATAAGGAGTAGTGCTCTGGGCGTCTGTTGGTGACAGTAAATATTGCACGCGTGTATTGCACTCCGTTGCATTATGAATAACTATCGGATATTAGCTCAGGAGGTCAAAATGTATCATGTGGTATGGCTTTATAATGACATTCCTGATCGGACTTGTTAGCAAGCAAATACGTTGCTTTAGGTATTTTCGCAAAGACGGCCGGCGCTCGGAGCGCGGCGGTCGGTCCGCCGCGCCGCGCCGGGCACACATGTGTCATCTGGCCCCTGTCCTGGTTCTCATGCCCACTTGTTGTGTACCACGAGGGCTGAGACGGGACGGGGGCCTGACAGTCTTCGACGGGGCTCCACCGGTGCGCGACGGCCCGGTGCACGACGTGGCCGACGTGGCCTTACGTACGACGCGGCCGACGTGGCCCTACGAGAACGATTCAGTGAACCGCATTTATGACCGCCGTATTGTGCATTTTAACCGTTTCCGTTTCATTCCAGAATAGACTTTGCATATATGAACAATAACTTTATATGGTCCTCCGCGTGACGAACGAGTACGAGTGGAACGAATGAACGAGCCGCACAAACATTTCTGTATCGAACGGGTGAACTGGGCAATTCTCACGAACGGGACTCTTTCTGTAATAATACCGTGCGGTCAGAGTCGCTCCGTGTAAGAAGACCAACTTCCTCCTGACTCACTTTCTCCACTGTTCTCAGACCGGAAGTTGTTGCCGGCTCGTGGGAGCTCCGCCCGGCGCCGACATCAGCTCTGGCATGGATCTGGCGGGCGGCCGGTCTGGCAGCATGTGCGCTGCTCCTCAGTACTCACACCCCATAGATACACCGCACACGGACGGGGCGGCGGATGAGCTGCTGCTGCCACAGGAGTATCTCACTGAGTGTCTGGGGGCCCTGGATGCGGCCGTGATCGCGCTCCGGGCCAGAAAGCAGGAAGGACAAGCCCTAGTGGCGGTGAGTCGGCTATTATAAAGATAATTACTACGAGTGTGTAGGTGTGTTACAGCTTGTGTCAATGTGCATGCCGCTGTTTGCATGATGCATCATTGGCTGTTTGCATCATTGGGTTATGATGGAATCTGATGACGTCATCAGCCTTTTGAACGCACCTTATGCTTTGAAGCCAAAATAGCAGTCTTTTATCCAAAACCGGGTGAATATTTTTCGGTAAAATTTGGTAGATAATCATTTGCACTCATTTTGATTCACGGTACATCACTTTTATGCCAGTTCATCAACTTGTTTTAAGGTGGGAGGGCCTCTTCAAAAAAGTAAACGGTTTACAGTAACATATACAGTTACATATTGGTTACAGTTATACCTCGAAAGCTAGGTATAACTGTAACCAACTGAAACAATTTGATCAGAAATCATATCACAGAGAGGGGTGATGTTTCTCTCCTTTGATTTGGTTCATCATAGAGCAAATTATCCACCCAGTGTGACAATAAAGGACCAAATGTTTGCTTTAGGAAGATGTCCAAACCTTTGTCCATTGCCGCCAACTTGTGGAAAATTTAGACCATACGTGGAGAATTGCAAGGAACTCTGCGTGTTTGAGCACCGCAAATCCGCCGCCCCAGCGTGGGTGACCTTGACCTCCGCCCTCAGCTGCGGTCCCAAAGCCAAGCCGGCGCAGTGGGCGGTGGATTTGCATGGCCCAAACACCAACAACTTCCTACAATATATTCCACCAATGATTTAGACCATGATGAGGTATGCAATACATCCTAGGTGTGAACCGTGAAGCTTCTCGCATCAAGGACTTTGATGGTCCAGTGACCTATCATAGCCTTCCATATTCCATAGCCTTCCAGTTATTATCGGCTTTGTCGAAAAAAGGAATGCCACGCGGTGGGACGAGCCCCGTCATTGCTGTGTCGCTATCCGACAATGCTCGTGTCAGCATCGGTCCGTCCCGCAACTGTTGTTGTTCTCTGCACCTGATTCGGTCTGACGGCTGACCCACCTCCTCAGATGGAGCTGAAGTCGAAACTACGAGCGCTGCACGCGGTCAGCGCGGACCTCTCTGGTGACGGCGGCGACACTCTGACGGTACGGTAGACGGCGCAGCCGCGGTCGAGGCGGTGGCAGTGCAAGTGACTTAGGAGGCTGGTTGGGATGGTACATGGTAGAGATGTCAATCGAATACCAACTTTTTGGTATACCGATACCAAACCGATACCAACTTGGTATTTGGTATTTCAATCCTAATGTGTTTGGTATTTTGTTGGTATTATGAGCCCTTACTAATGTATACTCGTAAGAGGCTAAGAAATTGGTAAAAAGTTGGTATTTCCCTCATCCTTCAAAGTTGGTTCGGTTTCGGTATTTCCCCACGGTTTTGGTTGGTATTTGGTTTGGTATCGGTATTCCGATTTTCTGTAATTGACATCACTAGTACAGGGTACCTACTGATGGTGCTGCAGTCGAGGCGGTGGCAGTGCAAGTGACTGAGGAGGCTGGTTGGGATGGTACATGGTACCTCCTGACGGCGCAGCGGTCGGGCTGGGGCAGTGGAGACAGCTCAGGGGTCGATACGGTGCAGACTAGACGGCACTAGAGTTGGACTGGGTCTGTACTATTTGTCTGAAGATAAGGTACCAGTGGCCAGTAGCTTGGATATGAACAATACAGTTCGAGTTCGGTTCAGTGTATGCGACTCGAGTCTGACAGCTGGGCTGTTCTAACAGGCGACTGCTGACTGCGACTCGGCTGCACTGAACTCTAACATATACTCAGCAGTCGGTCACCTCTGGCTTATGTTGACGGCCGGTTCTCAACTTCGGGTCCAGCTGACAAGCTGTGATCTGTGGTGGGCGCAAAATGACCTCAGATTGTAGTCCGCGCCCTTAATGAGCCTTCAACAAACCATGCTGTGGTTTGCGTGTATCCGTCGCCAATCGTGTGTGTGCTCGGCTATGGCCCGCCCGTTAACCAGTGTACCCTGGCTGTGACCTGCCCTCTGACCTCAATACCCGTCTCCAGCCGTGTACGGTGCCCGGCTGTAAAGGCCCAGACGGTGACGCGGGTCCCCCGCATCGGTCTCCCGCTGACCCGGTGCTGGCGGTTCTCTGTCTGCAGCGCTGCCGGCTCTCTGCCACCACGCGCATCACCGACCGGCTGGCCGTGTACAGACGCCACCCGCCCTCCCAGTCGGTCGACCGGCGCGACCGCTCGCTGCGGCCAACGGCGGTCCCCAACATTCAACTGTAGGTTCTCCTCGTGTCAGGGCTGGCACGGTGTGGTACTTGGGTGGCCAGCCGAACCCGGGCTACCTATCGAATCTGTGTTAGCATAACTGGGGTGGAGCTAAAGGCTTTAACTTGCATGATGTACGAGTATGGCGGGATGATTCGAAATGACAAAATTACGGAGTAGGTGACGTTAAATTTTGGTAACTGCCGACAGAGGTACAGAGACAGAGGTGTTTGACATACGACCGACAGAGAGAAATATGTATGTAATAATCGACACGTTCTGGCCATTATTCACATGCAAGCTGCACCGACCTGTCTAATTTTACATTATAAATACGTATATCCTGCTTGCTAACAGATTCGGTTCTGCGCTCTTACCGTTTGGCTTTGACCATATGTTGCGGTGTCAGCGGGCTTCCTGTCAGTTTTTTCGTTAAAACTGTCGTTGACAGTGCCGCTGTAACTGTCGATGACAGTGCCCGGCTGTCGGTATGTGACTGTCGGTGACAGTGCCGCTGTAACTGTCGGTGACAGTGCCCGGCTGTCGGTATGTGACTGTCGGTGACAGTGCCACTGTCGGTATGTGACTGTCGGTGATAGTGCTTCACGCTCTCGCCGCCAGGCCCTCACAGAAGACGGCACCGACCTCTCCCTCCCGCTCGGCCAAAGGACGCTTCTCCCGCGGCATCAAACGACCAAAACGCTACGACGACTTCCAGTGCGTCGACGACGCTCCGCGGGGCACCTCTCCCGTTCCCGACGCTGGCAGTTCCGACATGACCGAGCTGGCCAACAAGCCGCCGGCGGCTCTCAAGTCGATCATTGGCATCCTGCGCACTGAGAACGCCGAGCTGCGAAGTCGGCTGGAGGCCGAGCAGGGCAGGCTCGGCCGTCTGGTGGACGACGTGGAGCGACTGGTCGGTAAGTACCGGGCCGGTGCGCCGCGGGGACCAGGCTTGATGGATCCCCCGCACTGTTGCGCGGTACTTTTAAGACAAACTATACATCCCATATCTATGATCTCAAAGGATCTGACAGTGACGACAAACCAAGAACGTGAATCTATTTTCCGAGTGGATACTACCATATGCACCCTTTTAAAAGCATTTCTCAATGTGATTTCTTGACGATTAATGTCACAGTGAATTACGATTAGCTATCACACTATATCCCTGAGACATAACATTTCAAATAGTAACAAGTGACCATTGAATATTTTTATGGCGACAAAAAAGTGATAACCTACGTTTTTCACAATTCAAAATCCAAACCTTCGGGCCACAGCGCTCCTCGAAAAGCGCTGCCCTCGTAACCTAAAGATTAACCTCGTAACCTCGTAACCTCTCTGGATCTCTAGACAAAAAAAAAAATCTTCGGATTTATAATTCCAGTCGATGTTTCGACAAATTAGATAGCTGGATCTATGGTCTGGTTGGATCCTCGATCAAGATCCGTGGAATCAAATCCGAGATCCATTTGTTGGATCCGTGAACATGTCTTGTAAGTACAATGTACATGCAGTGGTGCACATGCGATTCCCATCGAAATGCTACCATTTTTTTTTTCTTTATAGGGGACCAAGCGAAACAGCAATGGAAAGGCACAAAAGACTGTTATCGCAGTGTCCGTGCCAAGCCGCGCTCCCTGCCTAGCGGACCGACTGCAGTAGCCCTGACGCCGCTTCAAGAGCAGCAGAAGCCGTACCTCATCTTCTTGGACACGGTTTTGAATGCTAAGACGTGAGTATGCCTAAACTTGTTAAAGCTTTTTTCCCTGTATGTTTGACGCAGTATTGCAATGCAATCCAGTCATCCAAGAAACTTTGCACGAGACGTTTTCTTGGATGGTTTTCTTATATAGCTTGATTTCATCGGGAGCTTCTGTTTTAACCCTCGCCGGCACAGGCCTTTTTGAGTCCTTCGACGGCACAAGGGAGGGGGGGGGGGTTGGTACGACCCCCCTCGCGTTTGGCCCCTGATGGAGCTAGAGCTTCGCGGAAAAAACGAGCGTGTTGCCCGTCACGAGAGGAAACCAATGATACCCAATTTTAAGGTCGTAGGTCATCGGGTGACCTTCCAGGTCAGGTCAATGACCCGAAAATCGGGAAAATCGGGACCTGTTAGAAAGTCGTAAAATGTGGCTGCCATGGGTTTTCCGGGGTGCTGATCACGAATATCGTGTTAGTTTTGATCAGAGATGATGTCTTTAAGCATTTAGACCAGGTCGGGTCAGGTCAGGTCAGGTCAACCGGTAAGGGTCGTGACGGGTATTCGCAGTACCTGTCATCCGCCTCTGACAGCTACGTAACATGTTACGAAGGCACCAAAACTACTTCGTAAATGTTCAAATGGTTGCTAAATTCGAATTCAGCTCCAAAAACTAGCCTAGAAACATGTAAAACTCGAAAAAGTGAACCGAGGTCACCAAAGGTCAATGACCTGACCTGACCTTCAGGTGACCTTGACACCCACCCTAATGCATGGGAGCAACATCAAATTACATGTTTGAACGTTTGAAACCACGAAAAGCTTGCAAACGCGCGGCTAATGCGAGGGCTAACTTAGATTAGGGCCATTAGGGTCAGGGTCATGACCCCCCTCGGCCGTGGCATATGTAGACAACTAATAGGTCCGACGAGGGTTAACTTAGATTGTGCGCTACACGATTATGCTTCGGTTGATTTATTCCTAAAATCAGACGGTTTTTCCATTTCAGTACCTGCACGAGTCTCCGGGGGACGCACTCTGAGTTGACGCGGTTGGATACAGACGTCTCTCAGATCCAGGATTCCGAGTACTTCGGAGCCACTCTTGACGCTGAAGAAGGTGGCGGGGAGGAAGCAGCGTGCTCTCCAACATCTGAGCGCAGCGGCACGGAAACGTCCGCTGCTGTGACACCAACAGGGGTGTCTTCGAAAGTCAGGCCGCTGAGGCAAGTCACTCCTGCCAAGAGTAAGCGGTTTGATGTCGAGATTGTTAATGACATGGAGTCGACGCTGGATCAGCTGATCGCAAGGGAAGAAATAGCAAACAAAAGTAAACACGCAGGTTTTTTCGATGAACTAGAACAGATGTTGGACCGCATGGGAGAGCACAAAGCGTGCGAGTTCAAAGCTAGGGTGTACTCCGAAGCCGTGAAGGTTGCTGTCACCGAGTAACTTCTACCTGAGTAGGCCTTACAGAAAGCCTTACAGAAAGAAGAAAAGGTGTGATTTCGGAAAGGTCAAGTTTTTGAATTTGCTTTAATGTGTGTCTATATGCTAATAAAATCAAGTCAGAACAGTTACAGAAAGCTACATGTTTTATTGTGCACCGTTTCATTTGTTTAGAAAGTTGACCGATAATGTCTTGCGCTTTGTGAGGTTTAAATACCCAAGTAAGTTATAGCTTGCAGGAATACGCAGGATTGTACATGTTACGTCTTGGACGTTGGAACTATGTAGTATGTGTAATGTTGAAATGAGTATTGAATATCAATCGATTATAAGTTCGATGTCTGACCTCCTCGTCTTAGGCGAACCTGAAATGTTCTCAGTAGACCGAAAGAACTCAACCCAAGATACTCTCAGACGCCGACGGGGCCCTCAAGAGTCCACGGTGTGGGACCTAATCGGAGTTGCCGATGGGTGGCCGTTTACTGATGTGTATGGTCTCAGACGCCGGTGGGGCCCTCAGAATCACTGGTGTATATGTAGAGCCGACCCAGGGCCGCCGGTATGGGACCTTAACCCGGCGGCCGCTGGGCCTCCGCGCCACCCGCCGGCCGCTGGGGGGGGGGGGCATATAGTTGCCCCCCCCCCTTTACTTCTGCGACGATATCGTCGCAACGCGAAGAGATAGAGAAGCGAAACTTTGCACACATCTTCCTGAATACCTAGCCGAGGTCGTGTCCAAATTTGGTGTCGATCCCATTTGAAATGACGTCACAGTGACGTCATAAGGGAAATTGTAGATTTGCGACTCTCATATTCCTCACGATACATCGGATATATGGGACCGAATATAAAGGGCCGATTATTGGTCAGAAACTAGATGGAAGTGTAGTTAGATGTTTTAGGATGACAGCAGGTGCTGTCTAGTTCATTAACAGTTGAGTTTCATGCTCAGCGTCATCAGAAACGGTCCATATCGGAAAACGACAAAACTTTATGACGTCACTGTGACGTCATCTTAGGTGCTACAACCACCAAACTTTCCTCAAACATTGCCTAGGTATTCATTTGAAGCTATGCCAAGTTTCACGCTCGTAGCTCATCAGGTTTCGGAGATATTTCACAAAACGTAAAGGGGGGGCAACTTTATGCCCCCCCCCCCAGCGGCTCGTGGGTTAAGAGACCCTGACGTGGGACCCTCAAACCCACACAACTCTGAGCCACACACCGACATCGGTGTGTGACCCTCAGAGAGGCACTGGCGCAGGAACCGCAAAGTAGCCGGTGTGGACCCTCAGAGGTGCTGGTGTGAGGCCCTCACATGGACGCCGTCGTGGTGATCTTTCAGACACTGGTGTGGCGCTGAGCCCACACCCCTCACAGATGACTGTGTGAAGGGCCCTTGGAGTTGTTGGTGCGAATGCTTAATAACCCAGTAGGGCCTCTCAGAGAACGGCAAAGGGCCCTCAGAGGCCGGTAACGGGCCATATGATGCCAACAACGAGTCTTCACAGGCCGGCAAGTGAGGGCCGGCACTATCTTCAGGAGCCCTGTGGAGTCCTTAGAGATCGGCATGGTACTCTCAGAGGCCGGTGGGGCCCTCAGAGTCACCGGTCAGATTTTGGTCACTGTAGAAAAACTGCATTGAACTCGACAACAAACTATTTTTTCATCGCTTAAATTTGCTTAAATTTGACAACTTTGTCTGCTGCAAAACAATCAGCTAAAAAGTTAACATTAGGAACATTATTTCAGCAATATGATGCCCTTACATATAATATACAACTCATTTAGAAACGATGCGTCTTAAACCACAAAAAAACAACACCAAATGTCGAAGCATTTTGGTCTATACATATATTTTTCATTTCGTGGCCACCACTCATTGCCACATTTTGCTATTTTGTATTTGCTGCGCAACAATTGTCCACATGGCGGAGGCTGAATTGAAAGCAGTGTTGCCAGGTCTAGAGATAAACCTCCAGATCTAGAGGTTTTAGGGGAGCGTTTCGGGGCTCCTGAAGGTTTTTGAAAAATGCCGGATTCTAGAGGGTTTTCTAGAGGTAATCTGAAAATCCCAGAAAAGACAATTAGCATCAAGGTCTCTTGAGAACTATTTAGGTACTTAATTTCATGTTATTATCTTTAAGTATTGCATGCTTAAACACACTTTTTTACAGATTGATGGAAATGATAAGCCTACTTTTGGCTTGTTCACTATTGAGGCTCTGGCCGCCGGCTGCAGCTAAAAGTTCTCGATATACCGTGGGCACCAAGGCTATGTAAACCTGGTGCCCTTGCCCACGGTGGGCACCAAGTCCACCAAGTTATGTTATGTGGACAAATGCAAAGGCATGCGAAGGATGAGTGAATTATCTTGATTGGGGATACAACCGGGTGTTTCCAAGCCCAACTGCCAGCTGCTGCCAGCGCGCTGACGTCACACTTTGGGTCTGTTCCAGTCCCACTTCCTAACACATCTAAACTCCTCCAAGGGCAAGATAGAGGAGGTTGGAGCAGGGCCCTCCTTTGATTTGTAGGGGCTAGAGCTGACACTGGAACAGGGAAGCAATCTTGGAGGAGTTTAGAGGTGTTAGGAATGTGAATTTAAAAGTGGTGTTAGGGTTGGGAGGAGGATGAGGATAATTGGGAGAAGGAGGAGGATGTATGGAGAGGTGTGGATGGGTGTGCGGATAGGCACAGGCACGCCTACTGGCTGTTGTTGCTGTTCCTGCTATTACTATTACTCGTGTGTCTAGGGGTGTTTTCTAATCTGTACCATCTGCACAATCCTACTCATCGTTGTCTAGGGGTATCGTCTTAACACTGTACAATCCTGTAACCGTCAACCAATAACCGTTGTCTAGGGGTGAGCTGAAACTTTACCAACTGCTGTGGTCTAGGGGCATTAACTGATCGACTGTTTGCTGGAGACCCACCAGCCCGTTTGTCCGAGTTGTCATACTGCCCGTGTTCCCACATTCGTTGCCCAGCCTCGAGAAAGAACGTGTAGGTATACGAACTAAATATGTATTGTATTAAAAGCCGAAACGTATAAAAGATGAATGAATCAAAAGACGAATGAATAAGGCCGAAACAAGTCGAACAACAAAAAGCCAAAGTGAGCAGGGTCACGGTAACCGTGCCTTGCTAAAATTGCCAAAGTGCCAAAACCATTTCGAGACCATCGAAACAAGAATCAAGCCAAATAATAACACCAACTGAATATCGCCAAAGGGTAGAACTGACCCAGTACAAGCCAAAGATGTTTGCCAGAAGAGCCGAAATAAACTGAGTCATGTTCCATGATACAAGAACCATCATGTTACACCTTAAAGGAAAAGGGCCACCTTCGTGAAATATGAAGATATCGTTGTTTTTCATTTTGACATTATTATTTTTCATTTTCTTTTTAAAACTGGTGCCAGAAGTGCACAATTCGCGAAAAAATATTTAAAACTATTTAACATATTGGTACTATGTTGATACTCTCTGCGGCACCTACTGTATGATGGCATAGCGATGACGTCACACTCAAGCCAATCAGCGTTCAGAAGACAGACTCGTCGGATTGTGTCAGATAAGCTGATTGGTTAAAGCTGAGCTGGTTGGAGCCGATTGGTAAAAAACCAAAGCCTCGCCGCGGGTGGCTGTATTGTCGGATAAGAACGCATTCCTTGGATAAGAACGCATTCCTGGCGTATTTTCTTTTAAAATTGCCGATATCTACGAATGGAGGCCGAAATCGGCCGTAAGGAGGTAGACAGATGGGTTTTCGGACACGGGCTACAAGATGGCTATCTCAGTTTCAATCCCCATGTTAAAGGTGGCCCTTTTCCTTTAACTAGTCACGGTACCGCAGCCTTAACCTACAAGCAAATATCCTACGCAAGTGTGTGTACGTGTGTGGCGGTGCTTGAGTCGTAATTTCGGCCGCGGCAGCGGTCACGAACAGGACAGAGGCTCACAAACCCTCTCAATCCGCCGGTCCTAAGACCCTTGGAGACTAGGGTTTGTATAGCCAGAGTCCAGCCCGTGCCTTTCCACCAAGGCCGGAACTGCCCAAGTACTTACATGATCGCAAAGAAGACCACACTGCGTCGGGACCTCGGGCACGAATCTCTCGCCCGTGCGTCACACGCGCCTTTTTATACGTTTTCACGCAGTCGCAAGGCCGGCCACCTTCTAGCCGGCGGCGAGCTGGCGCGGCCGGCTGTCTGTGTACAATATCGCTATATGTCGCATATGTGTTTTGCTATTTTTGCTAATCTATCAATACCGCAGAGCATTCACAGATAATAGCGCAATCTAAGTCATTGCATAGCGATCTGCTTATCGATTGCACAGCGTTAACTACATATTCGCGCAACTTCTGAAGGCCTTATTTAAATACAAACACCTTATATGATCTAAATACCGTCACCATGGCAAACGTCACCTAACCAACTTAATTACCTATTAACTACCTTGACACACTGAACTACCTATGGCATATCTCAATACACCGACACTGGCATTACACCACCGCACCTAGTTATGCGTTTTGCTAAACATACTAACTCCGCCACCGAACGTAACTATTCTAATATAGCATGGACAATAAACACACGGCCAGGACGCTCCTAAATGTACAGTCCTTATCTACACACTTGATGCAATTAGCATCAATTCTGCGCGACCATCACCAATGTAGAGGTCCACCCAGGCTCTACACTGAGAGGGGTTTAAACTGAAGGAAGGTTTAATCACGCTGCACTGGTGTCCTTTTTTTATAGTTGTTTTCACTTTTTGTTGATACCGATACAAATGCCGGCTGGCATCATACCAGAATCGCCCAATGTCCGAGTCGCTCTTCTCCGCATCGAACCACGCATCGCCGCGAACACTGTCACTTGGGATCCCTCGCTGTCACTGCCCTCCATTGCACGCCAAAACTCGCCATGTCCGCAATATAGCACTCAGTAACCTCCTCACGGTATTCGCGCAAGTAACACCAATCGGTCTTCCGATCTGGCCTGCCTCTCAGTCCCTCAGTTGATAGGAATATATAAGATGTGTCAGACGTTGTGACACTGCTAGGGCTGCATGGATAGCTTGCATTATCCCTGCCCGTCTTGCTAACGATCACTGTGACCAGCGTCCCTGGGTGTGCCCCACGGGCACAGTCCGCCGTGAACTGCTGCTCGCTATTTGGTATCGACATTGCTGCCGATCCCGACCTGTCGTCATCTGTTGATAGCAAGACATGCACGCCTGCAGGTTCTACAGCTGTAAATAGAAGCATAGTCACCCTTCCCTCCCTGAGACCTGTTATCGTAATGCGGGGCGGTAGCTAAGAAATATGACCAGGCTTTTTCAAACGCTCTTTCTTTTGGGCAGTATATCGAAACGTTACTTTGCATCGTTGTGCATAAAATGCTGCAAAAGTTGCTCCAGGTGTATCTTTACGTTATTATGCGTTTCACAAGGTTTCATATGCTAATGCTAATGGTCCCCGGCCCGCGCCGTCCTTCGCGCTTCTCCGCCGTCATTCCGCTAATCCCTGAGGGTGTGTAAATCTAAACATACTGAAGTGCACATTTGCCCTGGAGCTGCCGCGCTCGCCGCCTGTGAGGTCATAGGTCAATGGGGATTTGAGTGTACATGCGATTATGGAAATGCTTCGGGAGGGGGCCCAAAAAGGGGGGGTGTCATCGGGGGGGGGGGGAGTCGAGTCGCTAACCGAAGTTATAGTATCTTCTTGAGCGGTATTATGGCGTTTTAACCGTCTTTTCCACTTCGGTTGGGGGGGGCAGAGTAAGAGAGGGGGTAGAGTATGGGAGGAGGTCAAGGGAAACCGTCCGTTCATGCCGTCTCAGAGGGGGGGGGCGTGTGTGGGCGAGGAAGAGAGGGAGAGAGAGAGAGAGAGAGGGAGAGAGAGAGAGAAGTGGGCGGGGATGGATGGATGAGGCCAGGGATTTGGTCACCAAATAAGGTGAACGATGAGTCGAGGGCGGATGGATGATGAGGGGAGAGGAAAGAGAGAGAGAGAGAGAGACAGGGAGATGAGGCGGCCCAGGCGGTAGTGGCGAAACCGCCACGTCCACCCGTCGTTACCTTTGAAGTCGTTACCTTTGAATGCTCTATGCGGCCGTATTGCCCTGGTGCGAGACCCGCTGATGTGATCAGATTTCTCACATTCCTCCGTTTTTTGTGAAGGAAACGTTGATTTCCACCTCCGGGTTTTCTTGGTGTCCAACGTGGGGCTGCGGCTCAGGGAGTGTCTGTCGCATACATACAACAGTGAGAGGAGAAAGTTTTTTACACGCAACACGTCTCTGACCCGATATCGAAAGCTGTTACCGGAGTTCGCTGGTGTATTCCTGGATTAGCTGCTACCATGATCGTTCATCCCCTCTCCATGCCACCCGTGATACCGATACCTGTGTCAAAAAAAGAACGCTTCAGTTGGTGGTACAACCCAGCTCTGGGATACATCAACTCAATCAAGGTCCTGGCTGAGGAGCTGCGGGATCGACAAGGCATCTGGACATTTGTGGTCTGTCTTACTACTAACTGTATGTTCTGTCACCCACCTAGTCTGTACTGGGGGTGTCATTCAGCGATACGAGTCACTTACTATCACTCTGCCATCCTAGTCGTCGTACGCGGGAGGGTCGGTCATCTACGCAGAATGGTGAGTCGTCCAGTTGTCGGGGCGGCTGCCACCGGTCCTCCTTGCTACTACCGAGGTTGCGGGCTGGAATTATGCCAAAGGGTCTCGGGGAGGCTGGTTGCCCGGTTGTCACACAGAATGCCACTTAAGATGCCGTCACGCTGGGTCTCGGTTGGGTTGTTTGACCCCTCACAGGAGTTAAACATTGCCACCCTGGTAAACGGTAAGCGACGTACCAGTACTCGTGAAGTGTTCCTCACGTGCATGGGGCCGACCGATCCTGAGGGCAGGGAACGCATGTTCCATTGGGATTGACGGCACCTCGTGCTGTGTCATCCTCCGTCGGCTGGTCTTAGCCACCGATGAGCTGAGATCCCGCTCGTGACATTGCTGGCCATCTGTTGGGCGAAGCTGAGGACATCTGCGACCATGTACCCACGAACACCAACTGAACATCATATTCCATTTACGCATTTCTCGGGGTAGTCTGGAGACCGAGAGCTTTTGCACCGACAAGCGTTAACAAGCCATTCTGTATGTGCAAGGGAAGACACTACCTTACACCACTGGGTCAGTGGTCTGACGTCTCCGTCTTCTAATGCGAATCAGCTCACGACGCTCTGGAACAGCAGGGGCCTGCGCCAATGAGACGGTGACTCTATTACGCAGTTTGACCATTCCCCAAGTCAACAGTCCCGTGGTGGTGACATTCAACAGTAGCAGAAAAACCATCATGGACAACTGGTTTTCGGGTTGGGCGGTCCATACCAGCGGATGGTATGACGGCAACTGGTTTCTGAGGGTTTGGTATTTGTGGATAGTGTCATTGAAGGCTTTGAGGTTGAGGGCGTTTTTCTGGATGTCCGAGTTCATCGTAAGATGGTTCAAGAATAGCGTAAGGTTGTCTGGAACCATTAAGTCCGAGGTCAGGTTGCTCCAGAGGCTTCGGGTGAAGTTGAGTGAGAAAAGGTTGACAATAGGAGCATCAGGCAGATCCACCTTGAATTGTCCTTTACCATTGACATAACTGGGAACTTTGATTTGGCCCAAAGAGGCCTCACATCCTGGTTGTAAGCGGAAGGCGCCAGTGCCCGTTAGTTTGTATTGTCCAATCTGACTCTCAGATTGAACACTTTGTCCCGAACAACGAACTTGGAGGTCTCCTCGAGCTGCCCCGTACAACCATACGCCTAACCCAACATGTTGGAAGACTGGCCCCTCCTGGTACTGTACCTGTACGGGACAGGTCACAGTAGTCGGACTGTCCGTGAACAAGTCATAGAGACAGTCGTTACGATCGGGGGCAGGGGTCTTGACAGCCCCCAACAAGGAACAGACCCGCGGTTCTTCACCTTCACACTTTGCCTCCCGGTGGGCATCCATGGTAAAGAAGTTCCCTGGTCCTGCTTGGGTGGTGAAGTAATCAGATCCTGTTTTCTGTACGGCAAGGTAAGAGGTCTCAAATTTGTATGAAAAGAATAGCTTCTCCGGAAACTCAGGATGCACGATGGGCATGGGTATAGCCTCGTACAGCTGATATCGCCCCGAATCTTTGACTATGGGAATAGCCATACACAGGTTTAACCCTGTGGAAGTGCGATGGGTGGCAGTAGCAATGTAACGTAAGTATGAGTAGTGGTCATTGGCATCGTACAGAAGCTTCCAACCCGTTGGTAGCTGATTTCCTAGATTCACTAGGGCCTCACGAAACACTGGATCCTCTAAAAGTTCCCACGCAAGGGTCCCTTCGCCCGCCTTAGCCATGATTCTCCGGATAGTGTCTAAACCCCATTGGGACTGGGTGAGCCCTTCTCGTATGATCTCAATGGCGCTCAGCATCTCCAATCCTACACCAGCGAACTTGACACCTAGCTCGACCGTGCTTGTGGTATTATGGAGCTGTACTAGTGCTGAGACTACTCCTCCCATGGAGGACTCCAGACGGTTAATCTGTTCACCATTATGCAAGGCTTGGGTCGAGACCGAGTCAATGTAACTGAGTTGTTGTTCTACCAAATGGTTGAGTCTCCCTCCCTGAGCCGCTAGCTGGTTAATCCTCTCGGCAAGCTTTTTCGTGTCCTTTTCCGTGCTGAATCCAAAAAGGTATTTGCCCACGTTGCTTACTACGTTTACGAGTCCCCGAGTTTGTCGGGCGTCGTTCTGGACTGCAACGCGCTTGATGACATCTAGGTCCCTCTGGTAATTTGCCAGATCCTGTCGAAAAGCTCCGGACAGGTTGTTCCACATGTTTTGTAGAACCTGGACCAGTGCCTCCTTACTGCCCGAGGCTTTACTCTGCATGTCTCGCATACGATCATCCACTTGTTCCAATTGCACCTGAAGGCTGGAGTGAGCCGCTTCATACGTTTCCAGGTCGATAGTGGTGCAAATTGTCCACTCTGACCCAGTTACGATCACCTCCCCCAGGGGCTTAAAGTAGACCCCGTGGTGAAGTTGAAGCTCAACTCCTGGCGTCTCTGGAGTCTCGGCCGAGACGGCCCAGACCATCAGCAAGAGCCGTAACCCACGGCTTAACCTAAAAGACACAAACACACATACTTACTCTCCACACTCTGCTTCTCTCCCCTTTCACATGGGACTAAAACGATCTGGCGGTCTCCGGTTCCTCCGGGACCTTCTGCGCACGGGTGACGGATCAATTCTGGCGTAGATGGGGTCGTCCTCCCCAGACAAGCTGTCCTCAGACGAGCTGTCGTCTCTACCCTCGATCCCCACCTCCTCGTCTCCACAACGAGACCTCTCTGAATCCGATTCGTCCGAAGAAGACAGATCGGATCGGTCACCGCCCTCACCCAGGGCTTCCAACACACTCGTCACACCACTGTCCAGTATGTCGTCAGGCGTCTGACGGTCTATAGGGTCCCGTTGCCTTCGTCTCAGAAACCCTGGCTCGTATTCTGACGTCTCATGCTCGCTACGTGTCTGAGGGGCGTTCCCATCCGCGGTGGCGGATTTTGGGTCTGAAGCCTCTCCGAGAGCAGCCCTGTGAGCCCGTCTGAATACTTTAGCGGACGTCAGCCCTTCCCGATACACGTGTGAAACTGGTCGGGGTTTTAGTCGGTCGCAATGCACCTTCTCAGGGGGTTTCCTTGACCCTGGCTTCCGTACATCGTACGTAAGCCCATTGTCGTGGCGTCCTACCACCACGTACCCCGGTTCCCATTTTTTGGTCAGCTTTGAGGAATTGCCCGGTTTGGTAACTGGTCTATAGAGATAAACCAAGTCCCCTACCTCGAACACCTTTTCTCGAGCTCTCTTGTTGTAGCGGTCACGCTGGTAGTCTCTGGAGGCCTTTTGGTTGTCGATTACCTGTGTAATCGCGTCAAACTGCCTCTCCCTCAGTTGCGTAACCAAATCGTCTAACTCGGCCGAGTTAGGCGAGGGTTCCGCTCCCAGCGCTTGCTCAATGGGCAGTCGAAAATGCCTACCGAACATCAGAAAGGCTGGGTCCACCTTGTTGCTGCTCTGAGTGGTGGAGTTAACAGCATACTGGGTAGCACCCAGGAACATATCCCATTCCCGTTGGGTCCTATCCAGAGAGGTGGCGATCATGGTCTTGACGACCCCACACATTCGCTCTACATTGGAGTTGGCCTGACTGTGATATGCGGATATGAAGATGTGCCTAACATCCATTAACCGATTGATCTCAGCCAGGAGGGTGGACCGGTATTGTGATCCATTGTCCGAGACTATATGATACGGGATTCCGTACCGGTAAAACGTCGCCACTAGAGCCTGCGCTACCGCCTCGGCAGTGGCTTCTCGAAGTGGTATCAGCTCGACAAACTTAGTGAAGGCGCACACTACCAGTAGTATCCAGCGGTGTCCGCTAGCCGTCTCTGGTAGGGGTCCGACTAAGTCTGTGTGCAGAGTTTCCCATGGTCCATAACTGGGTGGGCTTGTTCCCAGTTTGGCGGGCTTCTCTCGACGATTTTTCTTCGTGCTGTGACACTTCACACAGCTGGCGCAGAAGTTGGTGACGTCTGTTACCATTGATGGCCAAAAGA